CCCCAAAACCCCAAAACCCCAAAACCCCTCTATGAGAATATATAATTAGTGAAAAATAAGTGATGAAATTAAGCTTAGAAATAAGAATTAAATCAAATTTAAAGAATCATGTTCTCTTTCTGTTTTTAGTTTTATCATTATCTGACACGTCTACAATAGATAAATGGTCTTTGTCAAAGTTTTTTGTATTAGCTCTTTAAAAAGCTCCACCCTTCTTGTGGAACTTAGGAATGTTGTCTGCATCAAATTTAAGATTCGCAAATGTTTGGAAGATTTACTCTAAGGTAGTTTGAGATGCAGAGTACTCACTGATGTTGAATTGTTCCTTTTTGCCCTCAATCATACTGAAGACATAACCTATTGATTTATCCTTCCTTGGTACTCTCAACTTGTAGTAGTCATTATAATGCTCTAATATTTCTACTTGTTCAAAGTCTTGGCACAAGCCTTCAATTATCTTCATTCCAGTTTATTCAACGTATATCCAGCTCATAAAGTTATGAACCTCAACCTGTCCATTGTGTTCATCTGCTTCTAGGCACAAATCATTCCCAAGGCCATCTTATCTAAGTTCTCCGACTAAGAACTCATGAACCATTTTTTGTCTCATTATGTTTTCTAACTCGTTGAAGTGAATCGTTTCTTTGCCTGTTAGTCCAAACCTATCAGTCAGGGTTTTCAATTCATCATTAGATTGTTTCCTTACTTTTACCTCAATTTCATACCCTGTTCCATACTTGCTTTTAATGTGTTAACTTGAGCCAAAGCACTTGAATATACCTCCTTTTACCATGATTCCCATTTTAGTAGATAAGGCTTCTGCCTCCTCCATTGAGTGAGTAGTAAGTATAACAGAACTCTTCTTTCTTTATTAAGAAATTTTTGCTACTACTGACCACATGAATCTTCTAGCCTCTGGATCCATTCCTGCTGATGGCTCATCTAGAAGAATAATTGGAGGGTTTCCAATAACACACATAGCAACTGATAACTTTCTCTTATTTCCACCAGACAGTGTTCCTGCTGGTTTCTTTCTGTGTTCTTCGAGGCTCATTTCCTTTATTTACTTTTCAATTATGTCTTTTCTAATGTGCTTTCTGATTCCTTTAATTCTTGCATAGAAGTATAAGTGCTCTTCAACACTCATTAGTGGAAAGATAGCATCATATTAGGGACAGTAACCTATAAGCTTTCTGACTTTGCTGAAATCAGTTTGAATATCCATTCCGCAAATTGTAACATCTCCCGAAGTAGGAGTAATACCTCCTGTCAAACTCTTGAATGTAGTAGTCTTTCCAGCACCATTCACTCCTAATAAAGCAAAGCATTCACCGTATTCAAGTCCAAATGAGGTTTTCTCAACAGCACAATAGGGTTTTCTGTTTAATGAGGAATACACTTTTCTGAATTTGTTTACTCGGACCTTTAATTGATCTTTACTAAGGGATTCTACTCTCTATTCTTCATCCAGTACATCATCATCTTGATTGAGATCTGTCCTTGGTTTGACATTTCTTCCAATCATTTTACCAAAGCATCTTCCAATGCAATTAAATGCACCAACCTCTATCAATATGAGCATTATTGTCCAGAAGATACCATGAATAAACATAATTAAAATGTCACCTCCTAGTGCATTGATATCCATATCATCTTTGTTGAGTGAAGGTCTAAGCTGGAACAGTATTGATTTGATTGACTAATATAAAATTGAATCTGTCAAGCAATAGGTTGGAATAATCTTGAAAACCCAAACCAATACATCTCCAACAGAATAAGTAGATTCAATAATTCTCAAGAGCCCTGCAATAATTCCACCAATTCCAGCTATAATAAAATGCACGAAGATGGTCATAGTTTGACACATATTCTCACTAGTGAACAAGAAAGATGAAACATAGGTGAAAGGAATAACTCCAACAGGGTAAATCAAGAATAGAATCCAAACATAATCGTACTATTAGTTAATTAAAATGATGAAGAGTTCTTACCTCCAACTAAAATGCGTAGATTAAGCCAATGACAATAGCAGATGGAATAATTGACTTTACAATATCAAAGATCAGATTACTAACCCAGTAAGCAGCTAAACTCATACCACTTACTAATTACATGTGCTTTAAGCTCTTCTCTCTTTCATTCACAATGAAGGTAACAACTGAAGCTGGTATCATAGCAAATCCAATGGCAACAACAAATACAATAAATGATCCACTAGCACTAGCAGCTCTCTATCTCAAATTCTCAGTAATAGGAAAAGGATGAGTAGATACTCTTAACTTGAAATTGGGGTTATTAAGAGCTACTTTTAAAACTGATTCATACATGAATTAAGGATAGAGGGCAGTAACATCTTGAGATGTTAAATTTAAGAAGGTATTAATCTTGTATTACTTATTGACATTATCAGCCTCATAAATGAAATAAGAGCCGAATCTAAATGGCTCGTATGGTTTTACAAGTCTTTCATCAAAAGTATCATTATCAAAATCATAAATCACTTTACTTCTATTTGATTCACTAGCATAAGATTTTGGAGTAGCTGCGAAATTATTAGCTGAATCAGGTAAATTATCAATAAATATCTTAGGAGTCAAAGTTTAACCAGATGTGTTTTTGAAAAACTCATTGTTGTATAATATTCTTTGTTTCAAAGGAAATTAGGAGGGAACTAATGGTCTGACTGGACCGTCAATGTTGAATTAAACTTTTGAAAAACCAAATCCAATCAATACCAAAAGCACTGGAATAAAAATATCAACAACAAGTCCTTAATAGTTTCTCTTATAAAGTTAGATTCTTTTTCTGATCATAGCATCTAGATGAATTGAGAATACATTGAACACTCCTGTTTCGTGATCTTCAACAACGGAATAGTCATCGAACTTATCATTCTACTAGGTCACTTGCTTTTCAAGTTCTTCTTTAATGCTTTTAGCATCATCTGAATCATCTCCATGACCCACTTTCAAAAATACTTCTTCAAGAGTTGTAACTGAAATGCCATAGCTTCTAATATCTAGCATTTCTAAATCATGATCGAACTCTGGGAAGAAATCTTTGAATCTATAGGAAAGGGCTGTTGGAATCTAGTAAGTAATCTCACTGGATACCTCTGAGAGTTTCTTGACTTCTCCTATTTTGCTTTCTAAGTATTTCCCAACTTTGGTGTTTGCTTCCTTTGATTTTTTAACCATTGTCAAGTTATAGCCTACACCGAAACGATTCTTTAAGAATAAAGAGCTTCCAAGACAAATTAGTTGACCACCTGTCATAATTCCAATACGATCTCCAAGGATATCTGCCTCATCCATATAATGTGTTGTGAGGATAATAATTCTGTTATTTTTGTAGTTCTTGAGCATATTCCAGAGTTTTCTTCTGGCACTTAAGTCCATTCCAGCTGTAGGCTCATCAAGAAGCACCAGTTTTGATCCACCAATTAAGGCTATAGCTACAGAGAGCTTTCTTCTATTACCTCCTGATAAATTTTTTGCTTCAGTATCTTTGTTTCCATAAACATCCACATCAATAAGCATCTTTTTGATTTCATCCTTTTTCTCCTTTCTTGGTACTCCCTTAAAATCACAGAAGATGTCAAGATGCTCCTCTGGTGTAAGTAAATCAAAGAGAATATCATGTTGGGGACAAACTCCCAAGAAGTTTCTCACAGCATTCATGTCATCAAACAGATCATATCCAAAAACTTCAGCAGAACCAGAGCTTGCCTCAATCAAACCAGTTAGCATTGATATAGTGGTCGTTTTACCTGCACCGTTGTGTCCAAGTAAAGCAAATATTTGACCATTGTACATCTTGATATTCACACCCTTTACTGCTTAGAATCCATTATTAAAGGTCTTTTTTAATTCAGTAATCTTTAGTATTTTGTCATCATTTTCCTAAGCTGCAAGTTCTCTTGGAGCTGGCTCAAAATTTTCTTTTTTCATATACTTTGATTCAAAAAGTGACATATTTTCAGAATCCTCTTGGTTGTTCATTGATAATCTGTTCCTAATCCTGTGACTTTTTGACCTTCCAAGCCAAAAACTTCTAGTTACACAGAAATACCAGGGCTTACGAAGTCCATAAGCGCTCGGGAGAACATTGTCTAAATAAATACCAACCCAAAGGAAAATGAAGAATGAGATAGCCATCATTACAAGACAATCTTGGAAAGAATAATTCTGATAATAACTTGAGATTGTGTCTGAGTTAACACCCATGCCATTTGTTTCAAATAAACCAATATTAGAAGTACCTAGACTCACTGCCACAGTAGTTAATAAAGATGCTGCATTTTTGCTTCCTGTAGTTATTGATGCATCAGCCACAGCTGTATTGATAAAGCTAGTACCAAAATATATTAGTGTTCCTGTGATAGCTGCTACTCTAGCTGTTGAAAAGAATGCTTATAGGAATATACAAAAACCAAACAATGACATTCCATAAACCCAGAAGTACAAGAATATGTACCCTCTGTTAGAGTATTTGAAAACATTAGCTGAAAGAATGATGATGCATAGGATACTAATGATGGTAACCACAATAAGGTAATAAGTAAACCAAGAAAGCCAGTAAGAAGAATCTGACAATCCCATCATTCTCATACTCTCTCTCGCTTTAGATTCTTTTTCTGCTACAATGTTTGAAATAAGCCTGTAAACGGGTAGAATGTACATTAGTAGCATGAAGAAAGACATCATCCCACTAAGGACCTAGCCAAAGTCATCAGAGATGTACTTGTCAGCTTTGTAAGGCACATAAAGCATTGCAATTTCTGCGTTTGGCTTTGAAGTTTTATTTCTTAGAATTTCATTTACTAGCCAATTTTATAAGTATGAGTAGCCTTGCTGTGTGTATAGTGTGAAGGATTCTTTGTCCTGGTCTATTTTGTATTTGGACCAAGGATCTAAGAGTTAGCTTGGTATTTACCTGGCATCAGTTTCTTATTAATGATCATTAAATATTAATTTTATGTCAATGTCTGTTTGATTATTTTCTTAAACTGAGAATCCAAAACATATTCCTTTCTTGCCGTTGTTTTGCATATAGTCACTTGCAGCAATGTAGTCAATAATATCGTCATGCTTTTTGAAACTTACGAATGAGAATTCGATTAGAGATGCCATTATTGTTGCGTTGAGTCTTACTAGCCCATTCATTTGAGCTTTGATGGCAGCTTTTTAAGAACTATTTTTAGAAACATCGTTATATTATGCATCTAATACACTTAGCATTTATGGCAGATATACAGAGGAGTATAACTTCTGGTTATTTTCTAAAATATAGCTTATTTATGATAAATAACTTACAAATCTTCTTGATACTATTTTGCACAGCATTTTTATAGTTTTCATTACCGGAGTAAGCGATGATTGGTTTTGCTTGATCACGCTTCATTTCTCTGCATCCTGATGTTATAAAATTTAGTACTGGATTGACTTTGTCTAAGGTAAGATTTCCCATATCCTTAAGGTATGTACCGTATTTTATCTCGCCTTGAACAGTTGAGTTTGTTAAGTTATTATCCGAGAGGAAGTCTGAGGGGATGAATAATTTACTAGATGGTATGTTTGTTGAAGCTTCAATGGTATCTGAATCAACAATTACTCTCACAATTGCGAGAATAGCCATAAGTGCTACTGGACAAAAGAGTTCACAAAGAGATGCTCCTAGAGTTCTCTTCCAAATGATCCAATTCTTTTTCATTAGAGCACCAAAGTGCCTAAGTTTTGATCCCATATGGGGAGAAGTAGACAAATAAAGTTAAGATAAATTAAATTATAAAACGATTTAAAGTTTTTCTAAATTATATCAATCTAAGCAACCTAAATACGTGGATAACTATTAAGTATTGCTAAATCTAGAAGCAAATTGACACTAATTGGGTTGAGATCAGAATAATGCAAAAGTTAATAAGATTATTGTACTATTTTCATCTGATAATTAACCTTCATAATGAATATTGCCGAACGGGGTTTTGGGGTTTTGGGGAGATCGGAAGAGCGTCGTGTAG